CCGTAAACATTTTTAATTGAAGAAGATGAATGATTACCAATGTTTCCAATTCAAATGATTTCCTTTTGCATTATCCCCAAATGTGATATGGCCTCCATATTTCTTTTTGAAGTTTGATAGTAACATTCTATCTTTGGTTATGTGCTTTGAGTATCCACTATCTAAGAACCATTTGCTCTTTATTTTTTTTGGTACCTATAAAAATAGTTTAATTTTTTTATCTTTGATACCCATACAAGTTTGGGTTCGTGGTAATTAGTTTTAGTGGACTCTTGAATCCACTTGTTTTTACTTTCAAAGTGTAACCTATTTTTGGCTAGACAATTAAAAGCAATATATCCATTTTTATTGCAAAATTACATGTAGTGTTTGCAAGAGAGGAGTTTGATACTTTGACAAATAAATTTTTGAAAGATTTTTATTTCAAGAATGGTTTATATCAAATTCCTTCTTTTTCAAAACATACTTCTGATCACCAAACTAATATCAAAGTTCTTCTTACCTTGAGTAAATTAGTAAATAATTTTAGTTAAACCTTCAACATTTTCTTTTAAAAAAGAATTTTCTTTAATCAAAGAATCATAATCAACATTTTCCTTTTTGAGTTTCTAAAATTTTCTTTATTTCATTTTTCAACAAGTAGTGTTTCTTTTCAAGAATGGAGTGATTTAAAGCAAATTTCTCAATAATTTCATCATATGAGGTAGATAAATCATCATATGAACATTTTGCAATAGGATTTACCTCATCTTCGATTGCCATGAAGCAAATGTTGGCGACTTTTTTCTTGACTATCATTTTCATTGCGTTCATCATCGTCATTTTCATCCCATGCAGCTTGGAGTGCCTTTTTCTTGATATTCATTTTCTTGTTTGGGCACCCGGTTCTCTTGTGAATGGGCTTGTCACAATCATAGAAAATTATTTTCTTACTTCTTATTTCTTTCTTCACCAATTTCCTCTTTCTTTTGGAATCTTCGATTATTTCGAAAATCTCTCTATTTTTTTTTACAAGAACTAAATCATCGAACTCTTCATCACTCATATTTTCACTTGTGGTTCATTTTTCAGTCACCGATTTTAAAGCAATTTGGCACTTAGGAGGCTACTTTAATTCTTCTTTTCTTTTCCTCTTTTTCTCCTTAGTTTTGGCGTTGTTGAGCTCATAAATCATCAAGATTCAATAAAGTTCTTCCAATGAATATGAGTTAGTATCTTTGGTATTCTCTATCAATATCTTTGATGAGCTCCATTCTTCTAATAATGACCTAAGCATTTTTCTTACAAGTCCATCATTAGTAAATTTACGATCAAAACCTTTGATGTCATTAACAATATCGGTGAAGCGAGTAATCATGTTAACAGTAGGTTCATCTTATTTCATAAAATTTTTCAAATTCTTTAATCAAAAGATTAATTTTGATTTTCTTTACTTTACTAGTGCCAACATGAATAACTTCTAATGCATGCCAAATATCGTGTACGGAATCGTATGTGCTAATACGGTTAAATTCATTTATATCTAAAGCACAATAAAATAGATTTTTGGTTATAGCATTTAAAGATAATATTATTTTATCGTCTTCGTCACACTTCTCTCTTGGGTTTTTTTATCGTCTTCATCACACTTCTCTCTGGGTTTTAGAAGGGTTTGATCGGGTTTTTCACCAATTTTAATAATCATTGTAGATACATAAGAACAATATTCAATAATTTTTCAAATATTATAATCTATTAATTGAATGTAAATCATCATCCTAGTTTTCCAAAATTATAATATGTGCCATAAAAGAAGGGATGAAGATTTTTAAAATGCCTCTCAAAATTTTGAAATTGTAGTTAACCATTATTCAAGATTTGAAATCTTTAATTTTAAAATTGAAAACATTGCTCTGATACCAATTGATAGTCCAAGAATAAATAACTAAGAAGAGGTGAATTGACTTTCAAAACTTTTTCGAAAAAATGATTTAAATTTAAACAAGTTGAGAATGAATAAATCAATCAAACAAGATAAACAAGTACGAAAGCGATAAGTAAAAGGGAAGCGAGAGTGTAAACGAGATAATTGTGGAGGTTCGATACCAACCAATGATCTGCGTTCTCCATTACCAAGCTCTTCATCACGAGCAAGGGCTTTTCACTAAACTTGATTGACTTATGGCACAACTCAACCCCTTGTAACATTTTCGACGACTTACAAACAAGGAGTGTCGATCCTTATACAATATTGAGCTTTTCAGGACCTCAATATGACTCACAAATTTAAAGAGGAATGATTTTACAATTTGAAACTTCTCTATTAATAAATGATATAAACAAATTAAGTATAAAAAGAGGAATATGCTAACACTTTAATGAATAATAATGAATGATGCTCAAGTGTTAGATGAGAAAACTTTGATGAAAAAGATAATTTTCAAAAGATGATTCAATCAATAAAAATTTTTCAAAGTAAATGTTTGAAGAATTGAATAAGATGTAAGCTCAAAAAGTTTTGCTCAAATATTTCTCACTTTAATACTTTTAAAGAAATTTGTAGTGAATGCAAGAAGTAGATGTATTTATAGAGTTTAAAATGTCAAAAAATCTGTAAGTTCAGATGACTCGTTCGATTGATCGCATCTTGTCCTGATGACTAATATAGTTTGTACAGTAAAAATCAGAGGTCAGAATAGTCAAATTTTAGACAGTTTGAAATTTTTCGTTGACCACGTCCGTTTGACCGCCTCTTTCGACCGGTCAACTGTGTGACCATTTCGATCTTTTTAAGTATTGGTCCCGTTTGATCTGATTCGAAAGTTTTGAAAGGCATGGACTTTTGGAAAAAAAATTAACTAACTTTTCAAGATAAAAGACATTTTTCAAATTCAAATATTATTTTAAAAGTCATTTTTATATATGATCAAAACATTGTATTAGAATAACTTTCGATGCACAAAATTGTTTTTAATTCATAGAAGGATGTTGAGTTTAAGCATTCATTTTCAAATATCAAAGTATTAGTACTTTACACTTTATCTAAGAAATCTAGTCTTTGATTTTGCCTCGAAATTTGACTCTTAAGCTCTTGAATGTTTGACTTCGATCTTGACCTCCTTCATGAGTCCGATTTGTGATGATAGCTTTTGATCTTTTGACGACCATCGATAAATTTTTCATAGTATATTTTGAAAAACTATAATCACTTGAATTCAATTTTTTAGTGAATAAAATTAACTTGTTTGTTATAATCAAAACCTTAAAGTAATAATCAACAGTAGATCGATCAATGCCAACAGGCTAGGACAAAGAACAACGGGCAAATTATGATAAAAGAGCCATGGCGAAAGGTGCTATATAAATGAAAAAACATCGTATGTCAATATTACCTGCACATTGGACAAATATGTTAGAGGCACAAACATAGCTTCAGGAAGGGGGTGCAATGATCATATGGACATCAACACTCAAGTCAAATAGTAGACAAAATATTTAGGTGTGGTAGAAACACAAAAAATGGGAAATATAAACATTGAGTTTAGCTGAGAATGAGTTCTAGATATGATAAAAATGTTGAGTATTTATAGGCAAATAAGCAATGACTTTGACTTGTGGCTTTATCCCAAATGACTTACATGTCAAAGCTCATTGATATCGCCATCGTAAGCACCTTACATTTCACACCTTATCCTAGGCGGATTGGCAAGGTTTTGTGTGCAAACCGCATTTGCAAAAATATCCATCAATTTTTTTTGTACTTTGTTGATTGTGTTAGAGATTGCAACTTTCCAGGGCATCAGGGGTAGAGCCTCAACTGCCTCGAACATAATAGGTCTATCTGGTGTGGTTATGAGTAGTGGTGGATCCAGCATCCAAGTATAGCCTGGGCGGACTTTGACCAGTCAATGTCAACAATCAACGAATATAAAAGCCAGGTCGTTATATTTTGTAATTAATAAGTTTTCTTAACCAGCCAAATATTACACAATTTTAACCACATATTTATACAAAAAAAGGTAGGCAAACGAAAATTGATTCAAAATATGAACACATATAGGCAACAATAAGCACATACAAGAAGAAAGAAAAAAGGGATTCGGTTTGATCATCCTAGCACAGGCTGTTCAATTTCTTCATTTCACACTTATCTTGCCACGAATAGCCCAAATAT